GTGTATCGGGGACTATGATTGGGTGTATTCGCTGGAACACAATCCAATGCAATCACTGCATGTATAAATTCAGTGATAGTAGAAAAGTGCCTTATGACGTTATACCTTGAGATGAAGATGTGAAGATAACCGACAATTTCTCAGACTGTAAAATTGAATCTTGTCGTCGACCTTCACTAGCAGTCGAAACCTACAACAATCCAGTTGACCGTTTATCGACTGTAACAAGTTTTCTCTTCGCAGTGTTCTGAGCTCTGTGTTGCGTCATAAGTTTCATAGATTGATATGTTCATACATTTACAGACAAAATGGACAGGATTTGGATGGTTACCACATTTTAGGGTAAATAGAACTGATTTTGTGATTCAATTAAGAGGCGATGGTGGTTGTGGTGGTGCGAAACCAACTGATGGATTGTTACAATTTGTTAAAAACCCACAGTACAGTAAGTCAATGAAATGAAAATAAACATCAAAATGGATTGTATAATACGGTATTGACAAAATTTACTGTTTTGAAAATTAATGACCTTACTACATACTACATCCGTATACTAACTCCATCTGACATGGCTACTTTAGCAAACAAAACAATTTTCTAAATGTACTGTACATTAATCATTAGGAAATCTATTTTCATTTTTTTAACTTTAATGTAAGAAGAAGAGCATATATGCTTGTAAAATTTTCAAGAAAAAAAACCGTCAAATTTTTTTCACCCTTATTTGTATATAAATTTACATGAACTTTATGTTTTACCAACCAAGCAATATGTGGAAGCGTGTTGATTGGTCAATTTGAAAATCACGTGATTCGAAAGTGTTGAAGAGAGTATTTTATCCATTTGAGTGATTGTTCTTATGTTATGTTAAGTCATGTTTTCTCTATTTTTCAGCGATTCCCACTGGTACAATAGATCCACAATGTAATTTACTTGGTTTATAGAATGAAATTTACCTGTAACCATGTTAACTGAAAATGATTAGCATGCTTACTACCTGAAATAGTAACATAATATATAAACTGATTGTGATCGAAACTGTGGAGTATTTGATTATGGCAGTTATGTCCCTCCATAAAATGCGTGCTCGATTGAGTATGTTTTTATTCTTCATACTTCACGTTACGAAGCATATAATAGGAGCCGAAGAGGAACGTGGACGGAGAAGTACAGGCTTTAAGGTGGGGGGTCGTCTGGGGTTAGGACTATTTCATTTTTCCATCCTTCATATCATTAGATATTTCTATATTTTTATTATTTTATATATATTTTAAACAACATATTAGCGAATGCCAATAGTGAGTGAGTTTTTGTTGAAATTTTAACCAATCAAAACGACCTTATTCATACAAAGGTATTGCCCGTACTCATATAGTAATAACGAGTTTTGGGCATGTATTCATATTGGTATCTTTAATAAATTAATAACATTATGTTTTGTATTTGTATACTTAACCATAGGCCTTTTATTGAAATACACTACTGTTATAAGATACTTCTTTAAATTAACTTAATTAACAATTGGCAATTTCGGAGAATGAATAGGGCCATGAATAGATGAAAATAGTTTTTATAAGTAAAACAGTCTGAAATTCCAAGGTGCAATTTTGTTGATTTGCAGCAATCGCAGCAGATGCAGACGTTGGATTTCATACTGAAAAGTGTTACGGAAATTGATGTTTCCGAATATATCATCAAGCTCCTTTTTCTATGGAAATGATTTACTGAAAAATCAAGGGCATTTAAATTTTTATTCGATTTTCGGAAAGTGATAGGCCTACATGAATTTAAATGTAAAATAAAAATGTGCATCTTAAGACGACTGTCGGCAAGATGTTGTATTATTGTGGTCTGAATGTTAACTCAAGCAGAGTTACCTCTCTTTAATATTCACCTCGGACAGAGTTACTTCCTCTTGTATTAATCGGATGTTTTGTTTTAGTTTTTAGTAAATGGGAGTCGTCTATGTATATAATTGTCGGCATAGAGTTATAAATAGTTATTATAAACATCTATGATTGTCGGTCAAATGTATACATCTACGGTGGCCATTGTCTGACATTGACATCGTATGCAGCTGGAAGAAAATCTTCTTTAATTGTAAGACGGAAGTTACATCCGATCCACGTTACAAAATAGAATTCGTTGCATTCGACAATTCTCGGCAGTGTCCGTATTCTGACTCGGCAATGAATGGTAATTTCGTTGTTTCTTCCTGGGCGAG